CTTATTTTTTATTTATTAATTTGAGAGAGAAACATAGATTTGTTGTTCCACTTATTTATGCATGCATTGGTTGATTCTTTTTAAAATATATATGTGTGTGTGTGTGTGTGTATATATATATATATATATATATATATATATATATATATATATATATATTTTTAATTGATTTCAGAGAGTAAAGGAGAGGGAGAGAGAGATAGAAACATCAATGATGACAGAGTATAATTGATCAGCTGCCCCCTGCACCTCCCGTACTGGGCACCAAGCCCACAATCCGGGCATGTGCACTGACCAGAAATCGAATTGTGACTTTCTGGTTCATAGGTTGATGCTCAACTGCTGAGCCACACCAGCCAGGCCATTAGTTAATTCTTGTATGTGCCTTGACCAGGGATTGAACCTTGAAGTACCTGGATGATGCTCTAACCAACTGAGCTATCTGGCCAGGGCTTCTTGATTTTTCATTCTCCCCAATCCTCTTTTCCATCTCAGCAATTGGCACCTGGACTCTACCTGCATGCTCAGGCCCCAAACTTAAGTGTCACTCTTTTTCTCTTTTTAAAAACTGAGATACAATTGACATATTAGTTTCAGGTGCATAACATAATGATTGGATATTTGTATATATTGCAAAATGATCACCACAAGTCTCGTTAACACCTGTCACCATTCAGTTACAACTTTTTTTTTCTTGTGATGAGAACTTTTAAGATTTTTAGCAACTTCTAAATATACAATACAGTATTATTAACTATCATCACCATACTCTGCATTACATCCCAGGGACTTATTTTATATATTTATAACTTTTTAACCCCTTTGCCTATTTCACCTTTTGAACAGACAAAATTTGATCTTGCCAGGGCTCTTGTACTCCAGATCCCTCAGTCTGGGGCATTTCCCCCCAAATCCTCAATGGGCAACTCACAGTCAGGTGTAGCAAGCCTGTGAGCTCCCAGTGGGTAAGGCCAGCATGGAAGAGAATGGCTAGGCTTGGGTTATTTTACTGTTTCACCACCAGAGAGGACTGTCTACCAGACAAAGGTGCCCAACAACAGGAGGCAGAGGGTTATATCACCAGAGGTGAGAGCTAAGGGGGATGGAAGAGCTGGTATTATCTGAGACGTAGTAACCACTGAGAAACGACACAGACGTTTGCCCTTTCTCTCTTCCTTTGCTCTACCCCAGCCCACTGGAGGAGCTGGAACCCAGAAAAGAGAGGATCTTTGAATCAAATAGGAGGGTTGTTTTAAAGTAACCCACACTGAGATGTATTCCCCAAAAAGAACCAGGTAACTATGGAATCAGTCTGCCCAACTCCAAGACCACCATCTCCTCACACCAGTCTGCTGCCCTAGCTCCCAGCCTTGTTTACTCCCTTCTCTGGTTTATTTCCTTCTCTGGGAAACAGTGGACTAAACACAGATGTGTGTTCATCTGCTAGAAATGGTTGTGTTTACCACTCATGTACTCTAGACTTCACCCCATGAAAAGGAATTTTGATGTTTCCTTCCCTTATTAGAGGCCCTCAGAATGCTGATCCAGGTGGAGAAGGCATGCAGTAGGAACGATAAAAACCGGAGATGAGGCACACTGTTAGCTGCAGCCCTGTGGTTGCTCCTGGATTAACAAGGAGGACTGTCGGTCTGCATTCCATAAAGTGCTCTGAAGGGTTTACCAATTAAGGCGACCAGACATGCTTCATTTCCCGGGACATACCTGGTGCACACCTGCTGTCCTAGCCTTTTTAGGAATAGAATTCCCCTTCAGTCAGTCTCAAAAGAATTCCACTCTAGATGATAAATTAAATGGCCACAATACCAAGTATCCATGGAAATCAATTAATGGAGGCAATTTCCAGGCATCCTGGATCTGGTTCATGACAAGGACTAAGGAAAGGGCAGACATGAACAGTGAGACTCAGGCCAAGCAAGAAGGAAGGTGCAGGAGCTGTCCACTAGGCTCTCTGGCCCGGAGCTGACCGCCCTCAGAGAGGAAGTGCTGGGCACAGCTGTCAGAACCGCTCTGGACACCCTGGGTGGCTGTCATTTACATGTTAGCACATGGCGGTTAGAGCATCATTACTCCAGTGCAGGCTTGTCATCCTCAAAAGTTCTGAACCGAAGACTCCTCTAGGTGTCAGAGAGAGGCCACTACCTTAAATATTGACCCAGGTGTCCCTGGGGGCTTGCCCTCTATGGGGCAGGTAGATGAGTTACACATAGTGAAGGGCATGATCCCCATGTCCCCACTTACTCTCCAGGGTGTTTTTTGTTTTTAAATATATTTCCGGTCCAAAAAAAGTATTGAAAGAATATACATACAACTCTGCCATAGACTGGCTTATATTTCTTTACCTTTTTAGTCTCCCCCCCCCCCACACACACACAAATATATACAATACAGTATTATTAACTGGGGGGCGGGACTACTTCCTTTATAAAGTTCAAAATTCCAAATAAAGCCTATGGAAAATATGTGCCCCAAATTCTGCCACCACCTTCTGATACTCAGCAACAAATGATTTTCAAGTTTCTTCTCTGCCGTTTCATCTAAACACTTTCAAATCTGGATACGAGGTTCTGGTTAAACCCAAAAGGCACTGACACCTGACAGCACTTTGAGCTCATCAGACTTTGTGCACCTTGACCCAAAGGCTGTCACAGCAATCCCCAGAATGTATTTATTAGAACACTAAATTGCTCATAAGTAGAAAACAAGGCTGTGGTGATCAAAGATGTTTATTGAAATGCAGATATTAAATCATTAACATGTCTCCAGTACAGGACTTCTTAGAGCTTTTCGTGTGCAAACAAGCATGTGAATCCCTGATAAAGGGGGGCTACTGAGGGGCATCTCCCTCCTCCTTGGTGACGGTGCCCTCTTTATTTTTGGTAGAAAATGTGGGGGAATGAGTGGTTAAGGCACACACTTTAGGAAACATTCTACTCATCTTACTGGGAATATATGCTTAGGGTGTATAATTAATACACGAATTATCTTCATATCATGAGTCCTTTTTTTATTTCAACTTCCATGATAGTTTAATACAATGCTTCCTTCTATTACCACTGAAAAGATGGACACGTTGAATGATTTTACAGTCTTGAGGTACGCTGCCTGGAGCACGTGGTACAATTCTTTAGTGAAGTTACATCTACTTGAGCACTAAACATTGATGCTATTTTGGCTTTGTGCCACTGCCTCTCCTTGCTGAGGAAAGTTTAACCTTTGCACAGGAACGACATGAAGAAATCAAGGTGTATTTATTGATTTTTTTTTAATCAGTTCCGATCTAGGTATTCAGTGAACACCTCTTTACACCAAGCAAAAGCAAAACCAAACAAACCCCCCAAATACCAGACATAGAGATGGAGACCGCTCTTCCTCCTCAGGCTAGATTCTTGCTAGATTCCAAAGCAAATTGTACTCAGAAGATTCCTGGTGGCCCTGCACCTCTTTGCTATGCATAGGTTTTTTTTTTTTTAATCCTTATCCAAGGATATTTTTCCATTGATATTTTAGAAAGAGTGGAAAAGAGAGGGAAAGACAGAGAGAAATATCGATGTGAGAGAAACACATTGGTTGGTTGCCTCCTGCATGAGCCCTGACCAGGAACCAGGCCGGGGAGGAGCCTGCAACGAAGATAAGTGCCCTTGACTGGAATTGAACCTGGGACCCTTTGGTCTGCTGGCCGACTCTCTATCCACTGAGCCAAACTGGCTAGGATGCTATGCATAGTATTTCTTATGAGATTTAAATAAAGCACTATGGTTGTACATTTCTTGAGTGCCTTAGCAGGATTATCCTTCTGAAAAGTTCAAGAGACACACAAGCCAAACCACCTGGGGGAGGTTTAAGCACCAGTATTGTATTTGGATGTCCCCACAAACAGTCAGAAGGCGGACTGAAGTTACCCGCGGAGCGAGAACAGCAAACATCTGCCTTGTGACCCATTTGTAATCCATTTAAAAAGAAGTGTTCAGGCTGAGAGGCAAAGAATGAAAACATAGAATAAGTCAAACTCTTTCCTGTACCTACTGTGATTTTCCTATTGATAAAACATTCATAAAGGCACTTATTGGAGTGATGATTCTGATCCATTTTGCCTTCTCCCACTTGCCATTGTTCTACTGTACTTGATTATATGTGCCTGCAGCTTAGAGTATTCCAGTAAAACAGGCCCTTTGAAAGCAAGGGAGAAAAAAGTCATGTTTTTTCTTATAGCACCTTCCAAATATTTTTACTATAAAATAAGTAAAGTACAAGAGAAAAGTGTCCAAATGACCCAAGCACACAGCTCCCCAAAAGCACCCTGAAAAGTATGCGAAATAATTCTGATTAGGCCGTGTGACTGTGCCAGGCTCCAAACAAGTCCTCATTCTGCCGTGACATCTGCCGAGCAATGCATCCATTGTTCTCTGGAATTTAATTCATTTTCAATTACTCCATCCAAATGATAAAACATGAGATGTGCTACACTCCAGGGGGAAAATGCAATGATTGTAGTGTGACCACAACTGTTCGCTGGGAAGCAACACAGCCTGCTCAAATGAGGCCCCGATTCTTGTCTTCCGAAAAACAGCTAGTTCAAGAAATGTGAGTGAAATCCTGTTAAATCCTGGAAGTACTGGCATCAACCATCTAGCCTACTCTGGGGTGGGCCATATGCAAAGTCTTCCCCAAACGTAGAGCAACAATCTTTGGAAGAGGAACTATTTCAAAACTGAAAACACCTTGGGTACTGACTGACTGTAAGGTATAATTTAATGTGTACTAACATCATCAACAAATTATTTTACTGATCAAGGACTACTGCGCAGATGCTCCCAATCCAAAATATGGGAACTGCCTGTCTCAGACGTGCTGTGAAAGGTACCATGTGTTGTATGCAGCCGGGAACACTGCCATCTGGAAACACTAGTGATTAGGAATTTAAAAAACAAACAAAACAAAAATAAGATGACTCTCAGGAGAAAGTACACACTATACACACATTAGAAATTATATCTCCTGTATGCCACATATTTAATATAAACCTTTGCAACAAGTTCAGATGAAACAAAAATCAAAATTCTCAAAAAGTGAAAGATTAACTTAATCGCTAGAGTCCCCACTGCCCCAAACATCAGTATGCTTTTTATTTCTATGCAAAAGTAGGCTTGCCAACTGCTCAAATGATATGACATGATACACAAACCGATTTTCAAATCATGATGCCAGTCATCTTGCAATTTTAAAAAGTGGTGTAAAAGATATTATGACACATTACATACACACACACACACACACGCACACACACACACACACCATTGAGAACATGTGGCCTCTCCTAAAATAAGGATACGAAGACCTTTAAGTGCCACAGGAAGGATGAACGTGTCACCCCTCCCTGCAATCCAGGTAGTTTCCTTTAATCCAATAGCAAATCTGGGCGTACTTGAGAGGCGTGATCCTAACAGCGACGTTGAAATCCTGTGGAGAACCATTCATGTCTACCCATTGGTGCCCTGAAAAGATGCCAATAATTTTTCGCTCCCACTTCTGCTGCTGTTTCTTCCACATCCTCACGTAGACCCCTGACCCACTGGCCCCGGGCTGGGCATCACACTGCTGGTAGAGCAGGTCATAGGTCTCATCTTTGACGTCGCAGAAGCGGTACACTAAGTTGCCCAGTCGGTCATTGTCATAACCAGAGAAGTGGATTCGGCCCCCCGGCAGCTGCTTGGCGGGAGGGCTCACCCCGATCTTCATGAACTTTCTCTGGTGGAGTTTTTTCAGTTCCAGGAGAGCATAGTCATAATCCATGCCAATGTCGTTGGCATTGCCCTTGATCCAACCTTTGGGCACATGGGTGCGTTTCACTCGGATCCATTGAAATTTCATCTTCTCGGGCACGGCTGCGCTGGAGTTCTTGGCCCCTCGACCATCTTTAACCTTGGGCTTCAGGAAGCCCACGCGGAGTTTCTGGGTTCCTTTCACGTAGGTTTTGCCATCGTGTATGCAATGGGCAGCCGTGAGGACGTGCTTCTCCGACACCAGGGTGCCTGTGCAGCCTGTGGATAGCTTCACCGATGTCGAGAAGGGGTAGTTGAGCAGGAAGTCCTTCCCAAAAATGCTGAACCTGCTGTCGTAGCCGTAAATCTGCCGCTTCCTCCGGGACTTGCCCGAAGACTCGCCGCCACCACTGCTGAGGACATAAATGCCCACCTGGGTCTCTGTGCGGCTGCCGTTGGCATAGAGCGTTTCATAAGACAGGTACTGCTTGACCTCTTCGTAAGTGGGCAGTGGGGTTCCCTTATGACACTGGGGTCCACATGAGGAGGACACTTCCAATTTGGCTTCGGCCCCGAAGTCTGGCTTGGCTAAGTGGAGAGTGGACTGGGGCAAGATGACGGGGAGGCGGTAAGCAGGCCAGGTGGGTTTCCAGTGGGCTCCAGAGGGGCTCACCTGCCCGACAGCACAGAGAAGGAGGAGGAGCACGAGGAGGAGGAGGAGCCCTGGAATCCCCGCCATGCTGAGCACCACTCTCTGTGGGAACAAAGACAAGCGGGTCAGGAGGGCAAGGGGCCAAGTGCTGGTTTACTGCAGACGCAGTCAACGGCATGCCTGTCATTGTTTCATATATATATGTGTAGACTTCAGAGAGAAAGGGAGAGGGAGCGACAGAGAGAGAATCATTGATTAGCTGCCTCCTGCACGCTGCCTCAGTGGGGATCGAGCCCACAACCAGGGCGTGTGCCCTAAACGGGAATCAAACCGAGATCTCCTGGTTCATCGGTCGACACTCAACCACTGAGCCATGCCAGCTGGACTGTCATTGTTTCTAAGTCTGCAAACCCTCCACAGGAATCAGGGTGTGGAGAGGAATCCCGAGATGATGGTTTCACTACAATGCAAGGGCTTGGCCTTGGAACATTCCCATGGCCTGGTGTCCAAAACCAAGTCGGGTGCTCATTCCCTTCTATGTGGAAGATGCCCCTGAGGACAGCCCACTGCAGGGCAGTGTGCGTAGGGTCATCAATCCCCAGATGAACTGATGGACCAGACTCAATTTCCGGGTAATTTTGAGCCTCTTTGTGCTTCAGACTAAACCTTCGTGCCTTTCTTTCCTCTCATTCTCATTAAAGCATGAACTTGGAGCATCTACAGAGCAACTTGCTCACGCAGAGAGTAAATTTAAATTCCTCAGCTTGCTGAGTGACACGCAGAAGGAGGGATAGCTCCATGGTGTCACTCGTATGGGGACCCCCATCGCCTCTAAATACTGGGTGCATTTAGAAGAATATAAGACTTTTGCGTTTTTTTGTGTGTTTCTTTGTTTTTTTGCTTTGAATTTAGAACAATCTTAACTATTATAAATTTAGTGCCAGAGTAGTCAGGCCTCTAACATATAAAATATTTCTTCTTCCTATAGGTTTTGTCTTATACCAGCAGGACCTTAGTCAAAGGTCGATCGCATCATGACTGTCCCTGTTGGTTACTTTTTCAGGCCTTTGTATCTATGGTCCCAGCTAGTCTAAATGCCTTGAATTTGGGCCTACGCTAGCACTCGACACCGATTTATTTATTTACTGTGTGCATGAAAGGCTGAGCGAATGATTGACGTGGCTCAAAAAAATCCTGTTTTTGAATGATACCTGCTGAGCGCTAATGACAGAGATGGATGAGGGTGATGTGGTAGCTCAGAGAAAGGCCATGAAGTCAGCTATGGGAGTAAGAAGAACAGGGGAGGGGTTCCAGAGGAGGTGAGGCTGGGGATGGGTGCTGAAGCTGAACAGAAGTTAGGTCACAGAAGACAGAGTGAAGGGGCCTCTTAGAGGAAGCAACCATCTGTGAGGACAAGGAGCCCTGCGACAGGGCATGTCCTTTCAGGAATCATGCTTAGCTCCGCAAGGGTGGAACAGAAGAAGTGACGGGGGCAACAGGCAAGAGCTGGATTGTGAAGGGCTGAGTCTAGGAGATGAAGGAGTTTGGATTTCATCCTGAAAGGTATGTTTAAAGCCTGAGATCAATCACCCCACAAGAAAAACAACAAAAAAAAAGAAGACGGGAAGTAGAACTTCCCCAGATGTCGAAGCATCAGTCGGTTTTGAATGGCTCTGAACCTTCTATTCAAGGGAAGCTGACTAACAGGTGAGGTAATTCATTCATGCTCAGACATCCCAAAACTAGGCCAAGGCGGGGTTAGGTCTCAAGAGGCTAGTGGAATGTAGCAGGAGTCAGAAGGAAACTGTTCCATTATTCTCACCCTCTCCCTCTTCGGAAGTACAGACCCATTTGCAATTTTGGGGGGCCATTGAGCTAGCTGATGTAGTCCAGCTGAGCATGCCAGTCCATATCCCCATTATCCACACATGGTATTTCTACAAATGTGGGCGCCCCACCAACCTCTGGGATCCTTGTGCTTGTCTCTCTCTCCCCCCTGCTGCACTGGATGGTTGGGCATTGTCCAGTGTACCAGAAGGTTGCCAGTCTAATTCCTGGTCAGGGCATGTGCCCCCGGGTTGTGGGCTCCATCCCTGGTGGGGGTGTGCTTGTCTGATTCCACTTCTGTCAGGGAGGACAGGGATGGGAAAGGCAGGCAGGGGGTCTTGGAAAGCCAGTTCCTTGGGGCTTCCTGATTCCTTGAAACTGCTTCTCTCCATTTTTTCAAATAGGAAGGATCCATGGGTCCTTTTGTGGGCAGGAACTACATCTGATTATTTCTCTAAATCCTTTAAATCATGGGGTGCATGCACAAACGACTGAAAGTTCTTTAACCAAAGAACTAGGTGCATATATGCGTAGCCCATGGACACAGACAATAGTGAGGTGAGGGCCTGGGGTGGGGTGGGGGTTGGGCGGAGGGGGGAGTAGGGGAGAAATGGGGGACATCTGTACCACTGACAATAAAAAATAAACTAAAAAAAAAGATGAAAGTTCCAGGTAGACAAGGCAGGGGGTGCTAAGGCTAGTACAGGCCAACTTTATAGGTGGGGTAGGTGTGGTGAGGACGACCATGTAGACTTCGGGGGATGGCTCTGTACCTAATTGCTCCCATCTCCTGGGCGAGGACCCAGCTCTTGGGCATATCTAGGGCTTGGACAGCCTTTTCTCTATGTAAGTTGCTGTCTAGGTGACTAAGTACCCCCACACCAGAATCCCTGCCAAGTGTGATATGTACTAGGAGGAATCATGTACCTCCCACGAGGCTGCATCTTGGGCCCCGAGACACCACCCCCTCCTTCCTTCGACTAATGTGGAGAACGTTAATGCCGGCTAACATTGAGCAGCAGATGTGGTAGGTCAAGTGTTACTTCAGCTAGTCTTAAGAAAGAAAACACAGACTCCAGACAGAGGTGCAAGCTGCCAAGTATTCCTGTTTTCAAAATATAATTTTTAGGGGAGAGAGAGAAAGGAGGAGATGAGATCTTATTATGCTATGTATTATCCTAAGTTGTCAATAATATTTTTGGTGTGCATGATGAACATAACAGTGCTCATAAAATATGCTCATCTTATTATCTAGAGCAGGGGTGGGCAAACTTTTTGACTCGAGGGCCACAATGGGTTCTTAAACTGGACCGGAGGGCCGGAACAAAAGCATGGATGGAGTGTTTGTGTGAACTAATATAAATTCAAAGTAAACATCATTCATAAAAGGGTACAATCTTTTTTTTTTTAGCTTTATTCATTTCAAACGGGCCGGATCTGGCCTGCGGGCCGTAGTTTGCCCACGGCTGATCTAGATCATGCATCTTCAAACCCCAAACCTGAAATTTGCATGTTAACTGGATGCTGGGAATAGAGAGTTTGAATTATCTACTGTAGCAGAATCGCTCCAGTGGGGCTTGTCTTTAGCTTCACCCATTTGTCCAAACACTGAAATAGTCCTTTGACAAGGGTATCAGGGAAGAGAACAGTAGGAAAGAGTCTGGAACTAGGACCCATCTAGGAGCCTTGCATTCATGAATTAACGCCCTCTCAGGCAAAATTAACTCTAATTTCATTTTTCCAAGTGCTTTGCCTATAGGTAACCCCTGTTTAAAAAATACTTTTGCCCTGGCTGGAGTGGCTCAGTTGATTGGGTGTCATCCAGTGCACAGAAGGTTGCTGCTTTGATTCCTGGTCAGGGCACGTGTCCCTGGGTTATGGGCTCCATTCTCAGTGCAGGTGTGTGCAGGAGGCAGCCTATCAATTTATTGCTCTCACATCAATGTTTCTCTCTCTCTCCCTCTCCCTTCCTCTCTCTCTAAAAACCAATACAAATTTTAAAGGAAAAAGACTTTCAAAGACCTTGAAGCATGAGCATACCTCTCCTTGTTGTTGATTTTTCAAAGTCTGTCTTTCAAAAAAGAAACAATGTTTTTACAAGTCAGTTCATGAGAGTTAGTGGGTATGGAGAAATTAGAACAAGTCTTTTCCTGAGTGTGTGCACTGGGCAGTTAGCTAGGCCCTCTCACTAGCCACAGCTTCACTCCAGCCTCTTGATATAGGATCAAATTTATTTTTCAGCAAAATGATGGATGACCAAGCCAAGAACGTCTAGGATAACTTACAAATCACTTACAAATCAGTGCTGCTAGAGAGGGCTAAAGAGTGTACCAAAGAATATTACTATTCTAGACAGAGTATTATCTAATGAGAATTAGATAATATTACCAATTCAGAGTCCTTACAAGTTAAATTCTGGGCATCTAGCCAGTTAAGGAGTCTGCCATCTATAAGAACTGCAAAACCACAAGGCAAGGTGAAGTTCTAATCCCTTAGAACTAAGCTTTTTCAATACCTCAAAAACCAGGGATTCTATAAGTTTGAAACATTGTTTACAAGTTCCCTATATTATTACTTAAATCTATTAACTTGTGGGGTACAACCTTGTTCTGACATTTCCTACCTTTTAAAAATACATACATTGATTTCAGCGAGGAAGGGAGAAGGACAGATAGAAATATCAATGATGAGAGACAATCATTGATCGTCTGTCTCCTGCAGTCCCCACACTGGGGACCAAGCCCACAACCCGGGCATGTGCCCTGACTGGGAATCAAACCATGACCTCCTGGTTCATGCTCAACCACTGAGCCATGCCGGTTAGACTGACATTTTCTATCTTGATTAAAGTTTCTATGTAACTCTAAAAGCTATAAAACTGCATTTTAAAAATTTTAACTTAGATTTAGAAATTAATGCAGCTCAGATTATTCTGCATTGATTCATTAAAAACAAAACAAACAAAAAAGAAAAACCTGATCAGAAATTGGGAAATAAAGTTGTGTGCGCTCAGGTCCCCAGATGGGTTTAAAAGTGACATCATATTGAAGTTCTAACTTCATAAATTGTCCTCTCCTTTACCTAATGTGTGTTTAGGGTGGCTTAAAAATTGTTATGAATACCAGGTGATATCTCTCTCTCTCCCTCTCTCTCTCTTAAAGAATAGTTACTGATTTTTAGAGAGGAAGGGAAAAGAGAGAAACATTGAACAGCTGTCTCCTGCACACACGCGCCCTCCCCCCACTGGGGATTGAGCCCACAACCTGGGCATGTGCCCTGACCAGGAATCCAACCAGCAACCTCTCTGTGCACGGGAGGTCACCCAGCCACACTGGCCAGGGCACCAGGTGATCTCTTTAGTCTTCTCAGCGCTGGTCTTTTTAGGCCTAGGAGTCTCTAATTTTATAATTTTCTAGAGTCACAAAAAGTCCAGGGCAGGCGCTATGCTGTTCACAGATAGCATGTGTGCAGCCAGCCACAGCTCAGGCAGGGGCTTACCTTTAGGAAACTCTGGAGCAGGGGTCCTCAAACTTTTTAAACAGGGGGCCAGTTCACCGTCCCTCAGACTGTTGGAGGGCCTGACTATAGTTTTAAAAAAAACTAGTCGGCTGCTAAGCAACAGGCAGCGGTGGCAAAAACACCCGGCGGGCCAGATAAATGTTTTCCGCGGGCCTCATGTGGCCCGCTGGCCATAGTTTGAGAACCCCTGCTCTGGAGGGTGGGGGCATTGGGGAAAAGAAAAAGGAAACTTTACCATGTTAATCCCTTGCTTATCTGGGTGACAAGATTTCCCTGATCAGTCATCAAAGAAAGCAAAGGCCTCCAGAAGAGGGCGGCTTTCAAGAATGGAAGGAAGGATGTCTGGGTGTGAATGCTCTCAGGAGAGTGGGAACTGACCTGCTGCAGGTCAGTTAAGGCGTCTGCTCCCCGAGGCCCTCACACCTTCCTTAGCCCCTTCCCCATTAATCACACACCAAGGAGAACGGTGATGCTTTAAAATCAGGTGGGTGGCTTTGCATTAATTTCTCGACTCACCTGATTATAGAATAATTCCCCAGGAGACAAATAATCATTGTTTCCATTTTTATCAGCTCTAGGTAAGCCTGTGCCATGCCCAGTTATTTAAATAGAAACACTCTAGCATGTAAACAGATGTAATAAAAACATTCATAAGCTCACAGCTGGAAAGGTAACTAAATGGGTTACATAACTTTAAGTTCTCTCTTTACATATGAATCACCTTACCCTTACAGAATTGTCTGGAAAATGCACACCTTGAACAAGGAATGAAGATGTCCAAGTCTTACCTGATTGTATCTAAATCTGGATGAAGAAAATTCAGGTCTACAACATTTCGTTTTAAGAATAAGCCTTTGTACAGGATAAGAATCCCTCATACACATATTTATCTTTTAAAGTTCTCGGCTAAGTATGTTCGTGCATCGCTTCACCCAAATGGCAAAGCAGAATGGAAAATTGAGGGAGGCAAATATTTTCTCACCACGCTTGGTAATAGAGAAACTGTTTTCCTTTCCCAACTCTGTATACTGACTCACAAGCGGATTACACAGCCCCCGCTCCATCACTCACTGTGAGCCACTGTCCCGCTGCCCACTGTCGAAACATGCGCATACCTCATGAGGACGCGGCCACTTCAGGAGCTCACCACTGACCTTACGGTGAGGGAACAACTCGCGTTATCAGATGTGCAAACAACACTCATCCCCTTGGAGACTGGGCCCACAACTGCTCTCTTCTAGTTCTGCACCTTAGACTTCAGAACTGCAGCAACACAGGCCTCCTCCAGAGGGCACGTGTTTGGGAGAAAGCTACAACTCCTACAGCCAGTAAGGGCTGGGAGGGAACATCTACTCCGGGGGACAACGTGTAAACTATTGCACAACGGATGAACTCCTGTGACTACTATACACAGTCATGACAGAGAGAAACAGTGGGAAAGTTGGTGAAGACAGAGGTTTTGGACACCAGTTGGAAGCATGAACAAAGGGTTTCCCATGGAATCTGTGGCCAGGGACACTGAACAGTGAAACCAGACTAATTCCTAAAGCAAATACCTAAAAATGAACAAAGCTCTGTAGCCAGGCTTGCTCTCATTTTCCAAAGTCCCTGAATCTGTTAAAGGAAAACAGACCTGATCGCATAATGGCTTAAGAATTACAGTCCCGTACAGGAAAGAAATGCAGGGCATTTACAAGTGCAGCCACCCTAAACATAATCTTGTGGGCAATAGAAGCTTAACTTCTCTATCAGATTTTAGGCAAAATGAACTGCCCCAGTGACTGGGGACAAACCTGGCAGCAGTACAAGAACAGAGGGTATAAAACTGTCAATGGTGCATCCATGAGAAACAAATCCCCCTCCCCACCCCAAGTCAGTGGGAGTTACGCCTGAATAATGCCTGGTGAACTGAATCCTAAGGGATCTATGAGAAGAAACATGGAGGGGAACCTGAGACTCTGAAACAAGGCAGAGCGGGCCCAGCAATGCTCCCAGACCCACTAATGGCCTCCTTGGCATTTATGCTGCGGACGGAAAAATGCGCCCACCATTCACCATCTACCTGAATAAGCTGTCGGTGTTACAGAATGAGATCCATATTAGTTACCTTGGAAGAATGCTTCCTTTGCAGCTCAGGCACAGGAAGGGATGAAAACGTACCTCTTGACTTTATATGAGACAGCACAAGAGAAACAATGTATTGAAATGCAGATGGTGTGCATATGATCACCAACACTTCCACAAGTAGAGAGAAGGGCTTTCTGTGGCATTTCCCAAGTGCCTCCTCCCCACTCCCCCTCTATGCACTCCTGCCTAACAGAGACGTCTTGCGAGACAGCGGTAAGTCTATTTTGAATGCCCTTATGCACAAATAGGACCCTGGAGCAAGTGCAATAAATATCCTGATATTAAGTTGGCATTCAGCTTTTGGCCACAGCTGCCTTCAGACTACGAATTTAACTCCTTCTCGCACCACCACTCGTAAAAACGATTCTCACTTTGGCCTATCTGATCCTAAAAAGTGCTTGGGGGGGGGGACCCCTCAAGTTCAATTTCAGGAGCTGAGAGAAGTCAGCCCCATGCCAACACTAAGCGGGAGCTTTCCACCCCCTACGGGCTGTTTCTGAAATCTCCTGGGTGTCGCCCAAAGGGCAATAAAACAAACAGGATTTTTATCAGCTCTTTTCTGGTGAAAGCAAACCAAATTTGTACTCTGATGGGGAGTGGCGGTTTTCCTGCACCTACACAGTTCTCCCTCCTCTTGTAAGACACTTTTTAAACTTTTTCTCAAACTTTTATTCCTAAGTTACCTCGTGATGGAGGACCACAGGCTGAAGAAGTGTTGGCTTTTAACAACTAGTTCACAGACACTAGTTTCTTAGGGAAGCACACGTCCTTCACTAAGGCTCTGGAGGAAAGATCCTAGTCCCCAGCCCGTGTCCACCGCCCTGTCCTTGCTCGCTAAGGTGCGTTCACAGCCACGTGCCAGGGTTAAACTTTAATGTTCAGATCTTGGTGGAACGTATACACGCAAAACTCAAGGCGAACAAGTAGTGGCGGTTGTGGTGTGTGTAGGAGGTGGGGTGTTGCCACCCGGGGGAGAGCTTGCCCAGAGCCGGCTCTCTCCACTCCCAGTCCCACCAGGCATCCCAGACAGCAGTGTCTTCCGAACCTTCTTTCCCCGCCCGCTTCCCGGGTGACAGTGGGTGAATCCAAGTGCCCAGCAGCCCTCGAGCCTCCGCGGACTTCTTCCTGCGGCGGGCCCCAGCCCTCCAGCCCCCCAGCCCCCCAGCCCGGGGGCGGCCCGGGCCACGTCCTCCGTGCGCCCCGCAGCCACCCCACCCCGTGCGCACCGGCCCATTGTCCCGCTCCTCCCGCGCCACGCCGCGCCGCGTCCGGGAGGGCGCCCGGGCCGCGCCCGCACTCACCCGCGCCGAGCTGCCCGCCGCGGCCGGGGTTCCTGCGCCGCTCAGACAGGTGTGGGCGCCGGGAGGGCGCGCTCCGCTCCCATGCCTGCCCCGCGGCGCGACCGAGTGCGAGCGGGCAGGCGGGCGAGCGAGCAGCGCGGGCAGCGGGCGGGTCCGCCCCCCACGCCTCCCGGGGCCCGCCCGCCCCGCCTCCGCCTTCGGGGAAGCCGCGCGCCCGCCACCCGCCCCACCCCCCGCGCCGACCGCGCCCCCTCCCCTCGCCGCCCGACAAGGGCCGGAGCCGGGCGCGCGGCCCCGGGCAGGGCAGGTGGGTCCCGGCGGCGCGGCGGCCAGCGCCCGTCCCGGCCTCTCGGCGCAGGTTCTCGCCGAGGGCGCGCCCTGCCCAGGACCCTTGCGCCTTCACCCTTCCAACACCGCTCACCCCCGGGGCGGGGGGCTGGAGTGCGCTGCCTACTCGCAAATCTCGTTACCCTCCCTCTCCCCAAATCCACCGAGCTGGGGACCTGGATCACACCTGGCGCACAAGGAAGCCCCTCTGCCGATGTGAAGAACTGGCGAAAAGCCGTGCGCTCCCCACCCCACAAGCACCTTTGAGAGATTTTAGGTGACGACCCAGTTCCTCCCAGCTTCGCCCCGTTTCTCAGGTGCCTCCAAGGAACCCCGCATTCTGGTGACGCGCCCACCAATGCTTTGCCTCCCCTACAGCACCCAGTGTGGTGCGTGGGGACCTGAGCGCGCACAGCAGGGGCAACTTAAGATGCTAGCTGGCTGGTGAGCCCGCGGCCTCAGCTCTTTGTCGCTGCACCGGCTGGTGGAGCCACCTCCTCGCCCAGTGGGCCGGCTTCCCAAAGTCACTCCAAGCGGCCCGCAATTCAGTCTTCCTCTAACCAGGTGGGTGACTGACTGTGCCCTTTAAGAACCTAGTGGTAGAGCCTTCCTGTTCTCTCCCAAATACATCAGAATTTTATTTAAATGGCCATTTACTGAGCGCCTCTCTGAACCAGCTTCACATATAAGGCCACTGTGGTGAAGGAGATGCAGGTTACCAGTGTTTCACAGCTAAGGAACCCGGGGTTTACAGAGGGTGAATGACTTGCCCCAAAGCACAGAGGCCACTTTTTTTTCTATCAAGTCTGGTAGCCTTTCTATCCCCCATCAAAGCCTGCTCTCAAAAAGAGAGGGCCTAACACACCATTTCACACCAAAGTGTTAATGACATAGCTAAGGCGTTTGCGTTTGTAATCTATTTTAAATAGGAAAGCCCCCAAATACATGTTATTGTGTGGTGTTTCTCAAATGTGAGAGAAACCCATATTCTCCGCTATTCTAAGGGCAAAATTTTCTTAGACCTCCTCAGTATTGGCTTAAATTATTTTCTTTAAAAATGTTGCATATATAGATATGTACACATATAACCAGATATAAGCTTAAATTACAGCTTTTGAACAACTCTGGAATAAATCCAAAACAAATTTATAAATAACATAAAATCCTCCTCCCAGAACTATAAAATTTGAGTTAGTAATGTTTACACAACTACTAGCCTTACGTGGTACTGACTGCCTAGGTTGGGTCCATTTGAGTTCTGTGTGGCTCTCCACTGTCATAGTGTATGAAGTGCCCTGCATTGACTCAATTTTCTCACCTTTTTCCTGTTCCAGCGATCACACCTTTCCTCACTCCCTGTGTCATTATAATACAGCATTGGACTCTAACACATCACTTAGAGATGAACTTTGTTCTGTTCCTTTGTTATTAGCATCAGAACTGAAGTGGGAGCTCTTGGTGTCGAGGCCTGGCACACATAAGCACTGAAATCAGGAACAAGTACTTGGTATCATTCACTTGTTATCATAAATAGGAAAAAATTACATTATGAATCTTCAAGAGTCTGGAGCACCCAACTGGAGGAACACCATTAAAAGCCAAATACTTACTAGAGGAGCTGAGGATGGAATTGGAAGGAGCGAGAGAAGGGACAGACTTCCCAGCTGTGCTCCAGTTGTATTAGTTTTACTCCAATTCAGCAAATATTTACTTAAGCACACATTACACGTAAAGCATTGTGCTGGGCTCCAAATGAAAGAGATGGCCACAGGAAGACAGAACAGGACATAAATAAAAGGCATTTATTTATGGCATTCAACTGTGGGAGCACCACTCCAGGCTCTTCCACTTCTTGGCTGTGTAGCTTTTGGCAGAACCTTTCTGTGCCTCAGTTTCCTCCTCTGTAAAATGAAGACTACCTCATTAGGGTCGTTGGAAGAACTGAGTGAATTAATACACACAAAATGGTTAACACACTGCCTGGCACAGAGCAAGCCCTCAGTAAATACTGGCTATGTTACGTCTGTTAAGCCACAAGAACGTCCCTTAGCTCCGTCTTGCAGCACACCCCGGCCCACTTTGACATTCATTAAAGCTCCTTTGTCCTGGCAGCTTTAAAAATAACATTGCAACAAAGTTAGGGAGGAAGAATCACGGAGAACAAGGTAATTATTGCCATCATTCAGAGTCAGAAACTGAGACACCTAAGGGCCCAAAAGCACATCTCTCCCCTGTCGCCATTCCCACAGCTGGTCTCAGGCCTATTGGCCCTACCCAGGCAGAAGCTCTCCCTACAGATGACCCAGGGGAGCTCAGGGCTTGAACAAGCACCACAAGCTTCTGTTGTTTCCTGGAGCTGTCAATAGTAAAATGAGAGGATACTGTGGCTCCAAGGTTGTCGCTGTGATTGCCTAAGGACCACGTTGAGGACAGATGTATAGGGTACTTTGACCTCCAACAGAAACACCCTGTGTAAACAGCAGGTATCCTTTGCTTTCCTTTTTGTATTTGCTCACTCCTCTCCCTAAATAACAAAATAAGAAAACCAAAATCCTCACTGCTTCTTAAGAATTAAATTCAACTCCATAATTGTAATTCTCAAATACTTTCCATATGTATAGCAATTGAATGCAGCCAATCAATGTTTCTCTCTCTCTCTCTCTCTCTCTCTCTCTCTCTCTCTCTCTCTCTCTCTCTCTCTCTCAAAAAAAAAAAAAAAAAAAAAAAAAAAAAAAAAAGCAATATACCCTAACTTGTTTGGCTCAGTGGATAGGACGCCGGCCTGTGGACTGCAGGGTCCCAAGTTTGATTCCGGTCAGGGGCACATGCCCAGGTTGTGGGCTCGACCCCCAGTGGGGAGGCGTGCAGGAGGCAGCCAATCAATGATTCTCTCTCATCATTGATGTTTCTATCTCTCCCTCCCTCTCCCTTCCTCTCTGAAATCAATAAAAATATATTTTTAAAAAAGCAATAAAAAGTATTTTTTAAGAAATTCATTCAGGTCAAGGCTCAGACATTTACTTAGTGCCAGCTCTGTATAAGGTGACTGTATAGGGGCAAATAATCATCACCTTTAGGAAATTATGCTACAAATATAAACAAAGCAAACTCAACGATAGGAGAAAGTGAGATAAGGGCTGGGTCAGGCTACAGCTAACGAGCATGGAAGAGGGGATCATTCATTCTCACTCAGGCGGGGGTGAAGGCTCCTATAAGGTGGTAGAATTTGAGCTGAAACTCAAAGGAGGAAGTTTGAGCAAGGTTTGAACAAACATCTCATTGGTTCCTCCACTGTAGAAATGAGAAAATCAGTGGGTGAGTGAAAGGGGTAGAACAAGGATTGGATTTTAATTATGGCTATGTTTCCTGAATGCATAGTATGTGCCGTGTAGTATGCAGGTAATCTTCAAGGCAAACAGAAAACTGGAGACTATGATTATCTCCATTCTGCAGATGAGGAGACTGAGGTTCAAAGTAGTTTAACGGGATAGTCAGTGTTTTGCAATGATGACTTCTGCTCAGTCCCTTCCACTCTTTTATCAGGCTCCATTTCGTTTTATATTGCTACCCAGGCCTGCCTTTTCTCAGGTTTACAGTAAGAAGGCTGCTGATGTCTTTGAAGCTCTAAACATCCTTTTGATTCTATCTTGCTTTTGTTGCTGTTGTGCAATCCCTTAGTAATGGCCTATTAAATGGTCTCAGGGCAGGAGATGGGACTGAAAGATAACTGGAAACAGGGTGGCAGGGCAGGGAGAGATTCAGTGCCAACTCTAAACTGCTAAACTCAATTTCAGTGCTTACTTTTCTTTCTTTTTTTAAATTGATTTCAGAGAGGGAGGGAGAGGGAGAGAGAGATAGTAACATCAATGATGAGAGAGAATCATTGATCGGCTGCCTCCTGCAGGCCTCCTACTGGGGATTGAGCCTGCAGCCCGGGCATGTGCCCTTGACTGGAATCAAACCGGGACCCTTCAGTCCACAGGCCGACAATCTATCCACTGAGCCAAACCAGCTAGGGCATCAGTGCTTATGTTTCATGAGGCCAAGATCTATATGCAGCTTCACAACTTGTCAGTTTGAAAGTTATCAATCAATGAGGATTATTGCAAAGGAGATAAAATTACATATTTAAAAATCATTCCCATGTGGTTTCATTTCCATGATACTATAGATCTAGTGGGTTACTTAGGAAGTAAAGGGGTTTTCAGCACCATGTAGTGAGTGTAAAGAGGAATGGACCAAGTGAGCATCCCTACCATGGGGGCCTTGGGTAGCAAAGAATGGGAATCCAATTTAGAATTCCGACTGACTTGGATTCAATTTAGAGTTTATATAGTTGCTGGGTGACCGTGGGCAAGTTTCACACCTCAGTTTCCTCATCTGTACAATGGAGCTAATTGAGGGCTGTTGTAAGGACTCCTTGAGTTACTCAGTACAAAAAGCACACAGCACCGGGCTCAGCACAAAACAAATTCCAAATTGGCATTACCTATTATTAATATTATTACTACTACTACTTTCAGTGCTCAACAAATGTTTTAAAATTTGTTGAATGAATGAATCAAATTATTATAGTATCAATGCCAAAAAGTTTAATCCAGGCTTTCTAAGAAAAAAATTATCTCTTGTTCAAACGCAGATCTTCTTGTCATAGGTCTGGTCTATAGGCAACAAAGTGTTTCTCAGTATCAAATTTAGGAAATATTACAAATTCAGGAAATATTACAAATTCAAATGGGAGCCAGGATTGTATTTTTTTTAAATATATTTTATTGATTTTTTACAGAGAG